AGGGGTACACTGGGTGGTAGGGAGGTGGGTGGTAGCCTGAGTGCCCGTGGCTCACACTAGTGCTGTCTCTACTAGTGTGGCCCAAGCAGTGTGTGGCTCCTGACTACTTAGAAGTTGGACAGACCTGCTGATTGTATTCTAGGAATTGCATATCCAAAGCATGCACCCAATTTGCTTATATAGGTTCTGCACTGATACTTGCACATAGGAAAACTGGTTAGACAAATGCATCCAGCAAGCTATCTTCATGTTCTTTACCCAGTTTCGTACACAAAAAGCCCAGTTATGGCTGCCAAAAATGTGCAAAAATCTGGTGCAAAGTCTTGGACAAGGATCAGTTTAATCTAACTTAGGTAAACAAAACCCAGTTATTAAACTTCCTAAGTCTCCTGGTTGTTTAAAACAATAAAATATTGAATGTTCTTGTTGCTTTTATTTCCCTCAAACCATTTTTGCCATGAGCTGTTGGGGGTTGGGTTATGTGCTTTAAGTCTTTATGGTTATTGTGACTTAGAGCAAAGGAAGGCTACAAAAATGAACAATTCCAGCAGGACAGAATCTTTGGCCTTGGGACTTCCGAGTTTTAAACAACAATTATTTTTACAAGGAAAATTAAACAGTTTATTTTGGATTCAAGTGCCAGATTTTTTTTTCAGATTCAGAAAGGGTGAAATGACAGTGCTACAGACCAACAGTTACTAAAACACTCATTGAGTTATTTCCAGCTTCACTCTCCATCACTCTCACATAACGAGAAATTCTTGTAATAAAACTAAACTTTTAAATAGGGCGGCTGGCAGCTTTTCAGTGAAATTGTGGGTTGTATTTATTTTTTTATTAAGAGTCCTTTGAATGTTTTCTTAAAGGGAAAAGACAGAGTGAAATTAAACCCATTGTTTTTCACAGATCATTGAGGACAATCCTTTGGGAGCTCTGTGTCGTGGTATACTGGTCCTCAATACATATAATGTTGGTATGTAGACTCTAGAACTTTTAACTGGAATCCTATATTTTCTGTATTTATTAGAGCAGTTACCCCTTTAGCAGGAAATATTAATGAAACATGCTTGTGTTCACATCGGCATAATGCTGTTGGGTGATACTAATTGTTTGGTCCTGCAAAGAGAAATAGGACTATGAGGCCCTTGACAGATGTTCATTTAAATGTTCCATGGGCTCTTATCCCCAGTCCTCAATCCCTGCTTGCCAGATACTAGATGCTCAAAGGTCTGGGCCTGGGGCCCTGATAGTCTGGCAGGGGCTGCACTGGGGCTGGTTCCAGACCCTGGTGCGAGCCCCAATCCAGACCCTGGTGCAAGCCCAGTCAGCAGGTTGTTGGCTTGGCCCTATGTTGAATTTAAAGCACCATATGAAACAGCCATAAAATTGTTCTGTGTTATATGTGGAACACTGCTGTGGCAGGTTTGTCTTTTTCAGGTGCCTTGAATTGGGGGCACACGGAGCACCCTTGTCATTTATGCTGTGCTTACACAGATTAAAAGATTAAAGATGAAAAATATTTATGGATTTTAGTATACGTGTCTGTTTCTTTGTTGTTTAACAGTGAAAATGCCACAAGGGAAGCATGATAAGCCTTTTGTCTTCATGCTGGAACCAAAGAATCCAGAAAATCCCCCTGTTGAATTTGCGACTGATAAAGTGGAAGAGTTATTTGAATGGTTCCAGAGTATCAGGGAAATCACATGGAAAACGGCAGAAGAGGTAAAAAAAAATAAATTAAAAAAATCGTGCTATAAAATAAAGAAATAATGAGTATTGGGGAACCATCCATCAGTTCTCCAAGCCTTGCTCTTGTCCGTCAAGCCCTCTTGCTTATTATTAGCTTGTTGACTTCAGGGAGACTCCTTACATGAATAAGACACCTTGCCAAACTAGGTCTTGTCTAATCTTTCAGACATAGTAGGTATGTTAGAGTATTTGAATGCTTTTGGCATAGTACCCCTTCCTGTTGATGGGTCTGGTACTCCATCTCCTGGTGTAGCTGTGTGCACCAGTTCAAAGGGGAATACCAAAAGAGTCACAGTGGTACATGCAACAGTACCCTCTGCGAGAATATAAGGGATGGCACATCTGTTGCATGGCAGCAGAGAAACAAGTACCTCAAATAGTATATGCTCAGTACATTACCACGTGAAAGCTCGAGGGATAGGTAGCTTGGAAGACTGGTAGTATACACCTTTGCCTAAACTTTCCTGCATAATCTTGTGTCCTTCCTCTGCTGTCCAGCAAACCTCTAAAATAATTTCCCAGTTGTACCAAAACGTGTTATATGTGACTTCAGAACTCTACTCTTTCAATGTAATAGGAACTTTTCCGTCTTCAACACTATGTTTTCCAAATCCCTGGAAAAGGTGTTTTCGCAGTGTTCAAGACGTTTGCCACTACTTGAGAGAGACTAGTTACAGATATTCTGCTTGCTTTTTCCTTTTTCTTCCCCACTTACCCTTCCAGTATTTGAAAAGCCTTTGACACCATCAAAAAGATGTTGTGGAAACTGTTTAGGGATTCTCTTTCCTGCATTCATTTTCTTTGCTTTTTAGTTTTTACCTGCATTGTTTGCATGACAAAAGGATTTCTGTTTCTGAGCATCTCCTTGGTTCCTGCTGCTTATCCCTCACCTGAACAGCTAAGTCTCTACCTTCTGTCACCAGAGTCCTTTTCACATCAAACAAACTTGATGTCACAAACAGAGGATTGGAAATCCAGCTAAGGAAAGAAGCAGCAGGAGCTGTTGACCTGTTTTGAAACAAAAATCTGGTTTTCATGCCTCTGGCTTTAGTTCAGTACTAAAAAGGAGAGAATAAAAACCCAGCCGATCAGAAATGTGTCCAAATAGGATGCTTTTCATGAGACATCAGCAGCTCTTCCTGGGTTTGGTAGCTTTTTGTCCCTCTTTACAGTCAGGTAAGTATTAAACAGTCTGCAAGTTCAAACATCCTTTCAAACCCACTCTGTCAATCAGGCAACTCACTCTTTACTACATTACCACTTGAAAGCTCATAGGATAGACAGCCGGGAAGAAATGAGTTGTTTGCCAGCATGATGAGCAGTTTACGCTTGGAGGGATGAAGGGAGGTGGTGTGCAGGAAGGACAACATAATGGTATACTGCAAGTCAAAGATGTTACCAATGGGAATTTAGGCACTGTGCGCTATGTGCAGACTGTAAAGCTTTGAGGATTTAACTCTAGGCTTTATCTGCTTTGTTGCCTCTGTCTGTCGCTACCATGCTCGAGAAATGATCCGTTTTTGGGTAACCATTGCTAGAAGTCATTGCTTGTACAACTGAGCTTATAGCACCTTGCTAGGGAAAGCGTTGCTGTCTGGAGGTCATATGCTTATTGCTCCCTGGTGTGGCACAGAGAGGTACGATTAGTTCACACCTGTGTTACTCTGAGGCCATTTCCATTAATGATGCTAAATTCCTCTTTGCTTTCCTTAGACCGCAGCATATGGTCTCTGGCCTGGTGACTACTTCTGGAAAAGTATGTCTCTGCGGGTCCTGCTTTCCCTCCTCCTCCTGCTGCTGTTGGGAGAATTCCTTTGGGAGATTTCCTGCTGCTTCATAACCTTTTCTACTGAAGCCAATAACTGTCCAGCGTGCGACTCCTCCTCGATACTTCTCATCCTGCCATGACTTCTTGTGTCTGCAAAGCTTGTTTGTAATTACAAACGCCTCCTGAGCTCTTGGTGCAGGGCCTCACGTTGACTTGCCATGAGCTACTACTGCCTGCCAGAGGAAGGAAGAGCAGGGCTTCCTGACTTCTGTTCACAGGGGTTACAGATACCCTCATTCAACCTCCAGACCTAAATCATGTAGTGTTGTAGTAGATCATGGTCTCCTTACTAATGAGACCTACTTGACAGTGTGTTATTTTTTTATACCTGGGGCAGGGGTTGCTTTGCAAATGGTGAAGCGCTGAAGCAGTTCTCTGTGCATTTGGAAGCAGCTGGAATATAGCCTTTTGCGAGTCATAAGCAAGGGCTGAAGCCTGCTCGAGATCATAAATAAGTAGAGGGAAACTTCATTATGCTTTGCTTATTCTTCTGTGTGTGTTTGCATGGAGCCAGGAACTGAACTGAAATGATGTGGTGCTCCATAAAGACAATAATTCAGCTGCCAGACTTTGAAGCGTGACTCAGATTCACTGAACCAATGCGAATCTGCTTTCCTAAATAGGACTGGTTTCCTGAATTGGGACTTAAATATGGGTTTCTCACTTGGGTTTCTCCAGTGAATTCAAGGAGCACGTAATGGTTTAATATACTTTCTTTAGAATCATGATATCATACATATAATAACTTATTTTTGTCTGAAACAGGAGAATAGGAGGAAGTATTGGGAAAAGAATCAGTTAATTGCTATTGAGCTCTCTGATCTGGTTATCTACTGCAGGCCTACAAGCAAAACCAAGGACAACTTAGGTGATTTTTTTTTAAATAATACACTCAGCTTGCTGCTACTCTTCAAGTATGTTTAAAAGTTTTTAGAACTGAAAATCAACTGCATCTGTTCTCCACTGGGACACTTCTCTCTTGCATGCAGGACTTGCGGTGCCAAGTGGGAATTGTGCACTGCAGAGTGCTTGATGCTATAAAATTATAAAATGCCAGGTAAAATCCAGTGATTGATCAGAATTGCTTGCAGCACACATCTCAACCTGCCAGGGTTTAAGCACAGGACTAAATGTAGAACAGATTACTAAAATGCAAGAGAGAAGAAACCATGAACGAGGCGAGAAGAATAATTGGGAAACAGTTTGTGCCGATTTTCTTTTTTCTGCATTGCCAAGGTTAATAAAATCGCAGCGACAAAGAGTAGGAAGCTAACTCTGTTAATGGGGTGAAGATGTGTTTTGGAATTGTGGCAGATTTCATTTTTGCTTACCCAAGCCATCCTCTCAATAACATTTTAATAATGAAGCTCACTAGAAATCCATATGTTACTTTGCTTTTCATTTTAAGCGATGAGATAAGGCTGTATCTGACCTATGATTTATTTAAAATAGACTTGTTCTACATTACAGAATATTTTACAGTAAAAGCTGGGTTGTCATTTATGGAAAGGCCCCTTTAAGCTTTTGAAGCAATGTAGCTTCCTTGGCATAAATGAGAATTGAACCAGTATCTGTGGCATCCTTAAGCAGATGATGGAATTGGCTGCTTGCTGGCTTTTTATCACTGTTGCCTGGTCCGTGGAGTAGCTAGAAAATGTCCTTTTTACTTAAGATTCTTTGCAAACATTTATAGCGAGCTGTCAGTGTGGATAGACATTATAATTGCAGTCATTGTCTGAGGCGTCGCTAACCTGATTCACCCTTCCTTTCCCCATGTACGCCCAGGAAAGGACGTCTTATTTAAATACGTGCTTCACTGCTCGTTATTAGCAATGACGGGATGAGGACACTGCTACAGCTCTCATCTGTCCCACCACAATGCACAATTAGAAGACTTGTCAGGCAGGCAGGTTATTTTAATTTTCAGATTTGATATTCAGCCAATTTGCAGCATCTGCATTAAAACATAGTCAATTATTGTGTTCAAGGATGAGGAATGGAAATGGAGAAGAAATGGTAATGTTTCTTTTTTTATCACCTTGTTCCTCCTCCCCTGTGTAGAAAACCCTGATTTCCGAGAAATCCGTTCTTTTGTGGAAAACAAGGCTGAAGGCATTGTTAAGCAGAAACCTGTTGAGCTCTTGAACTACAACCAGAAAGGACTGACACGGGTCTACCCTAAAGGACAGAGGGTTGACTCATCCAATTACGACCCCTTTCGCCTCTGGCTTTGCGGTTCACAGATGGTGGCTCTTAATTTCCAGACTCCAGGTAACATTTTCTTTAAAAAAGGGCTGCTTCTTTCTTCACTTTAGCACAGGAAGAGCCGCCCTTTCCACTTTTCTCCTGTGCCCCAATCACTGTGGCTGCCTTTACCTAGTGCTAGGAGAGAGGTGAACGCTTGAGAGAGCAAGTGGAAAGTGTTTCAGGCCTGTGGCTCTCTGGGTCTGTTCTCCGGAAAGTTATCTCCTTAAAGCCCTTCAC